ACTTTGAGATTTAGAAGGGCACGGGATGACCAATACGGTCTGAATCGGTCTGTAATAAGTTGGGCACTGATAAGGGGTTGACGGGTATGTAGTAGTGTAGTGTATAGTGTAGTGTATAGTGTAGTGTATAGTAGTGCATAGTGTAGTGTATAGTAGTGTATAGTGAAGTGTATAGGATTAACTTTGAGATTTAGAAGGGCACGGGATGACCAATACGGTCTGAATCGGTTTGTGATAAGGTAGGGCACTGATAAGGGGCTGACGGGTATGTAGTAGTGTAGTGTATAGTGTAGTGTATAGGATTAACTTTGAGATTTAGAAGGGCACGGGATGACCAATACGGTCTGAATCGGTCTGTAATAAGTTGGGCACTGATAAGGGGTTGACGGGTATGTAGTAGTGTAGTGTATAGTGTAGTGTATAGTGTAGTGTATAGTAGTGCATAGTGTAGTGTATAGTAGTGTATAGTGAAGTGTATAGGATTAACTTTGAGATTTAGAAGGGCACGGGATGACCAATACGGTCTGAATCGGTTTGTGATAAGGTAGGGCACTGATAAGGGGCTGACGGGTATGTAGTAGTGTAGTGTATAGTGTAGTGTATAGGATTAACTTTGAGATTTAGAAGGGCACGGGATGACCAATACGGTCTGAATCGGTCTGTAATAAGTTGGGCACTGATAAGGGGTTGACGGGTGTGGTGTTGAGCAGCCTCCAACCTCCTCCACCTGCTTAGCTTCCGAGATTCCGACGAGAGTGGAAACAAACGTGCAGTGGCACAGATGTCTCTAAATGTCCTACCCAACACGTGTGCACCATGCATGTTGAACATGTACATGCATGGTGTTCATGCACGACGTGCGTTGATTGCCCAATGAATTAACCCAACCGGTAATGGATACTGTCACATCGTAATTTATATGCACGCATTATTATTACCCCTTTGGCCCTCGCACCTGATTGGCTGGCTCACAAGCGTCCACTGCACGTGCACCCCTCTATTGAAGACCGAAACTGGAGGATTTACCCACAAACCTGTCGCCTGATGGTGCTGGTTGATGATGTTGTATATGCTGCTGTGGGGGTCACTCTCCAACACACAACTGGTTAGTGCTGAACGAGTATACTACACTATACACTACACTGTACGCTACACTATAATTGTAAATGTTGTTGTGGGTTCACTCTCCAACACACAACCGGTTAGTGCTGAACTAGTATACTACACTATACACTACACTATGCACTACACTATACACTACACAATCCGGATTTCAGTTATCGGCAGGCACGGCTCTGGAACCTCATCAAGATGTTTATTCGTCCTGGATGAAGCCGATAAGATGTGAAGTTATTCGTCCTGGATGAAGCCGATGACGTAGTGTTCCTGGCGGTGCCAGCTCATCGCTCTGACTAAACTATTTATTCTTAGAAGCTAAAACTAACCTATATATTATTATAAACTAAACTATTTATTCTTATAAGCTAAAACTGAACTATTATTATAAAGTAAACTTTATTCTTATAAGCTAAAACTAAACTATTTATTCTTATAAGCTAAAACTAAACTATTTCTGCTTATAAACTAAACTAATTATAAACTAAAACTAAACTATTATTAGCTAAAACTAAACTATTATTATAAACTAAACTATTATTAACTAAACTATTTATTCTTAGAAACTAAACTATGTATTCTTATAAGCCAAAACTAAACTATTTATTATTATAAGCTAAAACTAAACTATTCTCATAAGCTAAAACTAAACTATTTATTATTATAAACTAAACTATTATTAACTAAAACTAAACTATTTATTCTCATAAGCTAAAACTAAACTATTATTATAAACTAAACTAAACTATTATTATTAACTAAAACTAAACTATTTATTCTTATAAGCTAAAACTAAACTATTATTATAAACTAAACTAATTATAAACTAAACTATTTATTATCATGAGCTAAAAATAAACTATTATTATAAACTAAACTATTATTCTTAGTTTTTTCGGTAAAGTCACGTTGAAGAGAAACAACAAAATAATAAAATATATATAAAACAATAAAAAAAATTCTCACGACGTTACGACCATAACTCAAACGGTCGTCTTCAGGTGTGTTGGTTCGCATAAATGTATTTTTAAACGGCGCATTTATTTATTTATAAAAAAACGTTAGCGCCACGCGCAGCGATTTGGCAGTTTACCCAGGACTAGTCCATCTATATTCTGAAAAGAGGAGGGGGGAGACGATTTTTTTTTTATATATATAATGTATGCTGTCTGAAAGCCACTGTAAGCGTGAACAACCAATTAAGACCTGAAATGGTTTATCAAATCTTTCCAATGATTGCTAAGATAGAATCCATCTTCTCGGTTGAAATTGTCTCTGTGCTTGTATATGTGGATAGCCTCATGAACGAATCTCTCATGGAAGCCAGATGGCTTACAAAGAACCTCTGTCTTGGAAAAGTCAATGGCATGTGAGCCTACTGAATTAGAACAATGATCTGCCACGGCCGAGGTGTTGGTCCTACCGTGTTTAAGGTCTGCTTTGTGTTCACGAATGCGGTCCGAGACATGGCGTTTGGTTTCTCCAATGTAACTACTACCACAGAGGCAAGTTAGTTTGTAGACACCAGGGTATTGTATGTCCGGAATCACATCTTTTACAGACGGAACCAGATCACGGATTTTATGTAATGTGTTGAAACGGACCTGGATCTTGTGTTTATTCAAGATTTTGGAGATCTTTTTTGTGATCCCAGCAATGTAGGGTAAAGTGATGGTTTTGAAAGGCTCCTCAAGAGGGTTCTTCTTCATGGTTTGAGTGATAGCTTTGCAGATTGTATAGTCGGAGTAACCATTAGCCCTAAGAGCTTGGTGTACGTGCTTGAGTTCACTGCTTATGTGTTCCTGGTCGGATATGCATTGGGCTCTATGATACAGAGTCTTGATGAGAGAATTCTTCTGTGATGGATGGTGGTGGGAATCCGGTTTCAGATAAGCATCCGTATGGGTAGCTTTCCTGTAGACAGAGTGGCTCATTGAACCATCAGGTCTCTTTTTAATTAGGACATCCAAAAAAGGTATATTGCCATCTATTTCGACTTCCATGGTAAATCTGATGGCTGGGTGTATGGAATTGATGTGGTCGAAGAATTGGTCTAGAGCAGGTCGAAACGTCGTGAGAATTTTTTATTGTTTTATATATATTTTATTATTTTGTTGTTTCTCTTCAACGTGACTTTACCGAAAAAAACTAAGAATATGAATTACTGCAGTCACGAAAGCTTTAAATCAAAATTTAAGCTATTATTTTTTAACTAAAACTAAACTATTTATTCTTATAAACTAAACTATTATTTTTATTTTACGAGGGATGGCCCCAACGGAGCTACACAACAGCTCTCTTTCAGAAGCGAAGTGGCGATCACGGACGAGAGCTCAACCACGTGGCGGCTCATGATCATCATCGTCGTCCAGGTGTGGAGATGCAAGGCAGCTGCCAAATCCTCTGAACGCGTGGACGTTCCTCAATGTGGAGGGGAAAACCGGAGGACATCAAAACAAAAATCCATGCGACCACGGGGAGAGAGAGAGAGAGACACGCAAACTCCAAACAGCAGGCAGCTCGTGGCCTTCATCCAGCAGTGGATAATGAGGGTATGGGTAGGTCTTCATCCAACAGCTGATCGACCATGGCATTATGACGAAGATATCGGGAGGCTTTAATGCAGCGGTGGATAGAAAATGACCGTCGACAAAACTGTAAATGTGGATTCACTCTTCAGCACACCGGTGGGCTAAAGCAGTGAATTATTTGTCTTTTGTCAACGTGACACTTTTTTTGCTGATTGGCCGTGTCGGGTGGTGGAGGGTTACGACACATTTATAAATAAACGCGATCTAACCCAAAAACCTTTATTATGAATAATATTGGTCGCGAAAGCCTACGTGTTAAACTAACTTGGGATGACTTCATCCAGCAGTGGATAAGACAGAGGATGATGACGGTGTGGGGGAAGATATTTACCGAACAGTGGGTAGCCCGTGAAGATGTCGATAAGAGGCCTTCATCCAGCAGTGGATAGAAAATGACCGAGGGTATTTTGTAATGGCCTGCAGCCAGAGACAGTCGCTACTGCTGCTGCTGACGTGGAGGGAGCTCTCATCCGGCTGTGTGACGGACGATACCTGCCGTTGGCTTCTTCACTACAGCAGCGGATAGAGCATGTCCATGTCTGTGTGGCTGCTGATGATGATGACGATTACGCTGCTGATGATGATGACTACGATGATGATGATGACGACGCTGCTGATGATGATGACTACGATGATGATGACGACGCTGCTGATGATGATGACTACGCTGATGATGATGACTACGCTGATGATGATGATGACGCTGCTGATGATGATGACGACGACGCTGATGATGATGATGATGACGACGACGCTGATGATGCGGCCGATGCTGTGAAGCGCAGCTGCGCCATCCCGGGGGAGGGGGGGTGGTCACGTGCGCGCCCGTGGTGCGATTGCGCAATCATCCGTGGGGTGGTGCCGGTGAAGCTGCATCGCTTGTGGGGTAGGAGGGGGAAACGCACGTGGTGGTGGTGTGGAGGTGGTGGTGGTGGTGTGGAGGTGGTGGTGGTGTGGTGGTGGTGGTGTGGTGGTGGTGGTGTGGAGGTGGTGGTGTGGTGGAGTGGAGGTGGTGTGGAGGTGGTGGTGGTGTGGAAGTGGTGGTGGCGTGGAGGTGGTGGTGGTGGTGTTGTGGAGGTGGTGGTGTGGAGGTTGTGGAGGTGGTGGTGTGGAGGTGGTGGAGGTGGTGGTGTGGAGGTGGTGGAGGTGGTGGTGTGGTGGTGAGGAGGTGGTGGTGAGGAGGTGGTGGTGAGGAGGTGGTGGTGAGGAGGTGGTGGTGAGGAGGTGGTGGTGAGGAGGTGGTGGTGAGGAGGTGGTGGTGAGGAGGTGGTGGTGAGGAGGTGGTGGTGAGGAGGTGGTGGTGGTGACTCAACTGCCCGGGCGGCGAGACGGGACCGGGGTGGGGGCTACTGAACTGAACCATCGCGCTCCGTTCACAGCGCACAGGGAGACGAAGAAGGAAGAGGAGAGGATCACGTGGCCTGACGAGGTGAGCGTTTGTTGATGTTGAGCGGCTGTTGCCTTCGCGAGACAAGTCGGGGATGTCCCTCCACGCACGCGTGTGTGTTGTGTGCGTCTGATGTGTGTCTGGTGTGTGTCTGAGTGTGTGTAGTGTGTTCTGTGTCTGGGTGTGTGTCTTGTGTGTGTGGTGTTGTGTCTGGTGTGTGTTGTGTTTTGTGTGTGCTGTGTATGTGGTGTGTGTTGTGTGTCTGGTGTGTGTTGTGTATGTGGTGTGTGTTGTGTATGTGTGTCTGGTGTGTGTGTTTTGTGTCTGGTGTGTGTTGTGTGTATGTGAGTAGTGTGTATGTGTGTCTGGTGTGTGTATGTGTGTCTGTGTGTGTGTGTCGCTTTGTTGGCAATGCTGATGAAGCATTGCGGCGAGAAGCCCGAAAAGACACCACGTGATAGCAAAGTGCGAAACAGCGGCGGCGGTGGGCGCTGAAGCGGCAACTTTGTCCTTGCTGGTGGGGCTACTGCCCCACCCCAACAGAGTGCGTCCGAGAGAGACGTCGAACGCCGTAGCGACCTTGGATACATGTTGTGTTTCTCATCAAATGATAATAATAATACTGAACAACTCGTATGATTGCCGCTATTGAACGGGACGGGCCATAGGGCGCCGCCGCCGCCGCTATAATTGGGTTGTTACTTTATAGTCCGAAATGAAAACGGGGTTGTTGGTACAGAATATAAGTTGATTCACTTAGGGCTGCGACACACACACAGTGCGCAAAGAAGAACGCTTCGAATTATCCGATTCTTTATTTACAACGACGGGAGAGCGAGAGAGCTAAAAGCGCCTTTGGGGAGAGAGTGTGCACTCGCGTGCAGGATACGCCATCGATTATATTATATTATAATCGATGGCTTTTATCGAGCCATCGATAACACTCTATAACACACACAAAATTGTTCCAGGGTAGTAAGTGTTATTTCCTAATTGCTTATGCCTCAAAAGTACAGAAAATTTATATTATCATTCCCCCACAAACTTTGTTTTTGTGACCAGGACAGTGATATTTTGAAATGTACATATTTTCAATGAGAAAACGTGGTGTGCATTTGTGTCTTTCGACTTAAAACTTTCGTGACTGCAGGAATTCGTATTCTTTGGTTCTTTCGGTGACTTCACCGAAAGGACACACAATTTCGATTTAAAGCTTTCGTGACTGCAAGGATTCATCTTCTTTGGTTCTTTCGGTAAAGTCACGTAGAATGAGAATAAAATAATAAATTGATAAAATAAAATAACACAATAATATTCTCACGACGTTCACATAAAGTCCTGGTCACAAAAGCATTTTCTGTACTTTTAGGCATAAGCAATTAAAAAATAACAGTACCCAGGAACAAAAATTGTGTTACATAGTGAATTTATCGACTTTCCAGGGGGCAGAGTGATCACGTGTGGGGGGCCAGGGGGGGGCAGGGGGGGCCAGGGGGGGCCAGGGGGGGTGTTAGGGGCTGTAGTTGGCCAGGACGCGTCAAGTCTCGCACAGCAAGAGGTGGATGACCGACGTGGAGTGGTTCGGTCGGCAGTCCAGGAACAGGGGAGACACTTCCCAGAGGAACGGCCACCGTGGGAGATGGAGCGGTGGAATCGGCCTGGCGGTGCAGGTGCTTGCGTGGATTTGTGATTTTGAACTTCGCAAAAAGTTGTCGTGGGAGTTTGCGGTGAAGGGGGAGAAGGGGCGGGGGGCGGCTTGTGGTGGCATTCATCCAGCAGTGGATCGATCATGGCCGATGGTTTGAGGATATTAAACTATGAAAGCACTGTACTGTCACGTGTGCATCTAATGGAGCGGTTCTTCGCCCATTTTCAGAGGGGGGGGGGGGGGGGCGGCGGTGGGGCGAGGCACTTCAGCCGATAAGTCATCAGCCAGTGCGTGAGAGCCGCCACACATTTTAAAACCATTGGGGCTTTGCCAGCAGCAGCGCGCTGACGGTGATGATGGGGCCAGTGTTTTCACTCTGTGCGTTGTTGGGGGGGGGGGGGGGGGGCGCACCTTCAGGGGCCGCACTGAAGGCCACCCAGGGGCCTGCAATGGCCTTGCAATGAAGAAGACTGCTCTAAATGTCTGAGTCAATATGCGGCTGAGTGTCTCCCCTCCCTTCCCCTATCATCACCTTTCCTTTTACAATCCTTCTCAGTGCCGGATTAAGCTAGTGTGGGGGCTGTAGCATATGTTGACAGTGATATTTTGAAATTTTACCTATTTTCCACAACATTCCAGACAGATTCAGCGCCAAGTAAACTTGGAGTAACTTCTAGAACTTTCTAGTAATATAAATAGTATAAATACAGTGGCCTTAAGCCCACCAGTTCAGTTTAGTTCCGGCTGCCTAAGTGATTACATATCTGCATTTTTCTGAGATGACATCAAGAGGCTGCAAGCATCCGGCAGACGCATTTTGCTATGTCTGCGGCCCATTTATCCAGACAAGAGCGAAAAAGTACTCTGCAAGCATCTGCTAAGATGTATGAGGCCTACAAGGTAAATTTCAACATGCCTGTTGGGGATCAAGACAAACCCTGGGCACCTCATTTCACCTACGAGCAATACAAAAAAAAACTCTGGAAGGTAAGATGGACAATTGTTGCTCGGAATTTTATGTTATAAAATTTGTTAAAATGTTTTTAATTGTAAAAGTTTTCAATTTTTAAATGTTGCAAGAATCTCTTACACATCAATCATGGGTGAAATAAATGTATTTTTGTAGGATGGTACAGAGGGGAAAAGAGAGCCATGAAGTTCGCTATCCCAAGAATTTGGCGGGAACCCACTGACCACTCATGCAACTGCTACTTCTGCATGGTGGACCCTTCCAAACGTCGGACTGGAAAGCATCCACCTGCTATCACGTATCTGGACCTTCCTTCATCCATCGCCCCGGTGCCACACTGCCATGACCTCCCCGTACCCACTCCTCCGGAGTGAGAGCAGCCGTCTTTAGAAGAGAGTAGCAAGTCAGAGAGCGAGGAAGACGTTGTAGATCTAGATGAGATTTTCAGAGGTGAAGCTGAGGAGAGAAACCCATACTACCCCAAACAAAGAGACCTCAACGACTTTATCAGAGATCTTGGTCTCACCAAGTCCAATGCCGAGCTCCAGCAGTGGAACTTGTTGGATGAAAGTGTGGAGGCCGCAGATCAGAGGATGTGTCACCAACCTTTTTGCAGCTTCTTCACCCGTCAAGATGGGCTCTGCTTCTGCCACAATGTGACCAGTCTGTTCGAGGCAATCGGAATCGCCTGTAACCAGAATGAGTGGCGCCTCTTCATTGACAGCTCATCCAGGAGTCTCAAAGCCGTGCTGCTCCATAATGGTAACAAGTACCCGTCTCTTCCCCTGGCTCACTCGGTGCGCCTCAAAGAGGATTACAACAGCATCAAGACCTTGCTGGACACCTTGAAGTATGATGAGTATGGCTGGGAGGTCATCGGAGACTTCAAAATGGTGGCATTCCTGAAAGGTCTCCAAGGCGGTTTTACCAAGTTTCCCTCCTATCTTTGGCACTGGTGGACCCCCGGAAGGTGCTGATGCCACCACTGCACATCAAATTGGGCGTTATGAAACAATTTGTCAGAGCTGTAGATAAGGAGTCGGCAGCCTTCAAGACTTCTTCCCTAAGCTGCCTGAGGCAACGGTCAAAGCCGGTGTCTTCGTCGGACCACAGATAAAGAAGATCCTGGAATGCAATGAATTCCCAAAGAAGCTCACTAGTAAGGAGAAAGCGGCTTGGGACAGCTTTGTCGCAGTGGTTCGTGACTTCCTGGGCAATCACAAGGTCGAAAAGTATGTGGAGCTGGTTGAGACTGGTGAAGAACCACGGAACAATGGGCTGTAGGATGTCCCTCAAAATCCATATCCTTGATGCTCATCTTGACAAATTCAAGGAGAACATGGGAGCGTACTCGTAGGAGCAAGGCGAGCGCTTCCACCAGGATATACTGGACTTTGAACGCCACTACCAAGGACAGTATAACGAGAACATGATGGGAGACGACATTTGGGGGCTGATTCGTGAAAGTGATTTACAGCATAATCGTAAATCTCGAAAAACTACTCGCTTCTAAATCTTTCGTGGTCATTTTTATATTACTTTAGTATAAATACATGTTAATTTTGATTCATATGTTGCTGTTTTCTGACTTTATGTGAACGAAAATACGCAAATTTGCCCGTTTATTTATTGAAAATAGGTAAATTTCAAAATATCAATGTCCTGGTCACAAAAGCAAAGTTTCGTGGGGAATAATAGCCATTTTCTATACTTTTAAGCATAAGCAATTAGGAGACAATGCTTCCTACCCAGGAACAAAAATTGTGTTACATCGTGTAATCAAAATCTGCATTGAAAAATAATTTCTATCACGATCCATGGTTCAGATAGCCCCGTAGGTGTCCACTGCATGTTTCGTCATTTGTATCCACTTTCCTCTCCGTCTTGCGCCAAGTAGTGGCCACATCTTCCTGGCACCAATCTCTTTGGTTTGTTGCCCCCCCCCCGCACCTCCGATCAGCCACGGTTGGCTACGTACGATGTGAAAGAAGTTCGACGCACAGTGCGTTCATCATAGGACACGTGGACAGGATGGTCATGGATATTCGAGTAGAGTATTGTCTACGGGAAATTCAAACTTCATGACATCTGGCCAACGTGTATTCGTCGTTAACACAGAAAAACACGAACGGTTGTGTTGAACTTCCGCAGGGGCGTCTGTCTGTGTCTTTTTGCGTCTCTTTCTCTGTCTCTCTCTGTGTCTGCCCGATGTTGCGCCGCTCGCGCGTCAATGTGAGACCCAACGTGAGCAGGAAGGGGGAGCCGGGGGGCTGCCCCCCCCATGGACCGGAGGTCCCAGGGCAAGTCGGCGGAGAGGGTCCTGCCGAGGCACCCATTCGGCCCGCCGGCTCCGACAGCAGGACTCCGGCGGTACCTGACTGCGCTTTCTGGCTACGGTCGAAAAGCGTTTCATTCATTTATTCCATTCCATCTGTCTGTAATGGGGGGGGTCACGATCATCATCATCATCATCATTGTGAACATCTCCCTCTTAACTGCAATGATCGCGGGGGCGCCACGGATGCCTCGGTCGCTAGCTCTCTCTACTGCTACCTTTTCCTTCGCCCAGCCCCCTTTGACCTCTGCAACGCCTGCAGGGACTCAGTCCGCGCTGATTTGCTGCCGAACCGAAATGTTTTCACGGTGACGTCCTCATTACCGGGCCGAGACCGTCGCCAGCTTGCTAGCCACTCGAAGACGCGGTTTAATAACGCGGATGAGCAAAGCCTGGATTCGAACCCAGGTGCTCGGTGGCCGCGGCTTGGGGCCCTTCGCCTGGGAGCCGCCCCGGTCACCTCTGATGAGCGGTGACATTCAGCGACGTCTTTGCCCGGTCTTCGCACAATGCGTTTTTTCCCTTTCTTCCTCTTCCCAGAAAGATTGGGCAGAGAAGCCATGCGCCCTCCCATCCCGTTTGCCTGGCCCGGCCGTTCCGCCGGCTGGCCCCTGTTCTACGTCACTGCCGTCGCTGTGTTCACTCGGAGACCCAGGAGGGTGCACTGCCACAGAGGGTGATGTTTCCTCCACGGCCGCTCCTCTCGGTGGCAGCAGTGGCCGAGAAGAAGATTACGCGGGGCACGGCAAACCTGTCGGGCCGAGCCCGGCCCCCGTGTCTTCTCAGAATGCCGCGGTGCGCTCCCAGAATGCACCTGGCCGTCGCAGCCGCCCGTTGGTACAGCCGAAGCTGGGAGCGCGGCGCGCGGGCTCTGTTCGGGCGATGCCGGTGGAGGCGGAGGCGGCGTCAGCTGCCCCTCCGGAGGAGACGACTGCTGCAGAAAAATCCGTTTCGCCGAAAACGCCTGGGAAACTTCAGCCGAATTGCGCGGGAAAAAATGGGCATTCATATTTGGGTTTTGAAGATTCGTCCTATGCAGGTGTGTGGAATTCGGCTTCTCGTTTCTAACGTCCCTTCTCCTTCCTGGAATTGTTGGCACTCACGTGGGGGTCTGCTGCTTTCTCGATCTGCTTCCTTCGAACGTTGAGTGGTGACCTGGACCACCACTCCCTCCTGTCCTGGACCACCACTCCCTCCTGTCCTGGACCACCACTCTCTCCTGTCCTGGACCACCACTCTCTCCTGTCCTGGACCACCACTCTCTCCTGTCCTGGACCACCACTCTCTCCTGTCCTGGACCACCACTCTCCCCTATCCTGGACCACCACTCTCTCCTGTCCTGGACCACCATTCTCTCCTGTCCTGGACCACCACTCTCTCCTGTCCTGGACCACCACTCTCTCCTGTCCTGGACCACCACTCTCCCCTATCCTGGACCACCACTCTCTCCTGTCCTGGACCACCACTCCCTCCTGTCCTGGACCACCACTCCCTCCTGTCCTGGACCACCACTCTCTCCTGTCCTGGACCACCACTCTCTCCTGTCCTGGACCACCACTCTCTCCTGTCCTAGACCACCACTCCCTCCTGTCCTGGACCACCACTCCCTCCTGTCCTGGACCACCACTCTCTCCTGTCCTGGACCACCACTCTCTCCTGTCCTGGACCACCACTCTCTCCTGTCCTGGACCACCACTCTCTCCTGTCCTGGACCACCACTCTCTCCTGTCCTGGACCACCACTCTCCCTATCCTGGACCACCACTCTCTCCTGTCCTGGACCACCACTCCCTCCTGTCCTGGACCACCACTCCCTCCTGTCCTGGACCACCACTCTCTCCTGTCCTGGACCACCACTCTCTCCTGTTCCTGGACCACCACTCTCTCCTGTCCTGGACCACCACTCTCTCCTGTCCTGGACCACCACTCTCTCCTGTCCTGGACCACCACTCCCTCCTGTCCTGGACCACCACTCTCCCCTGTCCTGGACCACCACTCCCTCCTGTCCTGGACCACCACTCCCTCCTGTCCTGGACCACCACTCCCTCCTGTCCTGGACCACCACTCTCTCCTGTCCTGGACCACCACTCTCTCCTGTCCTGGACCACCACTCTCTCCTGTCCTGGACCACCACCTCTCTCCTGTCCTGGACCACCACTCTCTCCTGTCCTGGACCACCACTCCCTCCTGTCCTGGACCACCACTCCCTCCTGTCCTGGACCACCACTCCCTCCTGTCCTGGACCACCACTCTCTCCTGTCCTGGACCACCACTCTCTCCTGTCCTGGACCACCACTCTCTCCTGTCCTGGACCACCACTCTCTCCTGTCCTGGACCACCACTCTCTCCTGTCCTGGACCACCACTCTCCCCTATCCTGGACCACCACTCTCTCCTGTCCTGGACCACCACTCCCTCCTGTCCTGGACCACCACTCCCTCCTGTCCTGGACCACCACTCTCTCCTGTCCTGGACCACCACTCTCTCCTATCCTGGACCACCACTCTCTCCTGTCCTGGACCACCACTCTCTCCTGTCCTGGACCACCACTCTCTCCTGTCCTGGACCACCACTCCCTCCTGTCCTGGACCACCACTCTCCCCTGTCCTGGACCACCACTCCCTCCTGTCCTGGACCACCACTCTCCCCTGTCCTGGACCACCACTCTCTCCTGTCCTGGACCACCACTCCCTCCTGTCCTGGACCACCACTCTCCCCTGTCCTGGACCACCACTCTCCCCTGTCCTGGATCACCAATCTCTCCTATCCTGGACCACCACTCTCTCCTATCCTGGACCACCACTCTCTCCTGTCCTGGACCACCACTCTCTCCTGACCTGGACCACCACTCTCTCCTGTCCTGGGCCACCACTCTCTCCTGTCTTGGACCACCACTCCCTCCTGTCCTGGACCACCACTCCCTCCTGTCCTGGACCACCACTCTCTCCTATCCTGGACCACCACTCTCTCCTGTCCTGGACCACCACTCTCTCCTATCCTGGACCACCACTCTCTCCTATCCTGGACCACCACTCTCTCCTGTCCTGGACCACCACTCTCTCCTGTCCTGGACCACCACTCTCTCCTGACCTGGACCACCACTCTCTCCTGTCTTGGACCACCACTCCCTCCTGTCCTGGACCACCACTCCCTCCTGTCCTGGACCACCACTCTCTCCTATCCTGGATCACCACTCTCTCCTGTCCTGGACCACCACTCTCTCCTGACCTGGACCACCACTCTCTCTTATCCTGGACCACCACTCTCTCCTGTCCTGGACCACCACTCCCTCCTGTCCTGGACCACCACTCTCTCCTGTCCTGGACAACCACTCTCTCCTGTCCTGGACCACCACTGTCTCCTGTCCTGAACCACCACTCCCTCCTGTCCTGGACCACCACTCTCTCCTGTCCTGGACCACCACTCCCTCCTGTCCTGGACCACCGCTCTCTCCTGTCCTGGACCACCACTGCCACCACTCCCTCCTGTCCTGGACCACCACTCTCTCCTGTCCTGGACCACCACTGCCACCACTCCCTCCTGTCCTGGACCACTACTCTCTCCTGTCCTGGACCACCACTCTCTCCTGACCTGGACCACCACTCTCTCCTATCCTGGGCCACCACTCTCTCCTGACCTGGACCACCACTCTCTCCTGTCCTGGGCCACCACTCCCTCCTGTCCTGGGCCACCACTCTCTCCTGTCCTGGACCACCACTCTCTACTGTCCTGGGCCACTACTGTCTCCTGTCCTGGACCACCACTCTCTACTGTCCTGGGCCACTACTGTCTCCTGTCCTGGACCACCACTCTCTCCTGACCTGGGCCACCACTCCTGTCCTGGACCACCACTCTCTCCTGTCCTGGACCACCACTGTCTCCTGACCTGGACCACCACTCTCTCCTGTCCTGGACCACCACTCCCTCCTGTCCTGGACCACCACTCTCTCCTGACCTGGGCCACCACTCCTGTCCTGGACCACCACTCTCTCCTGTCCTGGACCACCACTGTCTCCTGACCTGGACCACCACTCCCTCCTGTCCTGGACCACCACTCCCTCCTGTCCTGGACCACCACTCTCTCCTGACCTGGGCCACCACTGCTGTCCTGGACCACCACTCTCTCCTGTCCTGGACCACCACTCTCCCCTGTCCTGGACCACCACTCTCTCCTGACCTGGATCACCACTCTCTCCTGTCCTGGACCACCACTCTCTCCTGGACCACCACTCTCTCCTGACCTGGACCACCACGCTCTCCTGTCCTGGACCACCACTCCCTCCTGTCCTGGACCACCACTCCCTCCTGTCCTGGACCACCACTCCCTCATGTCCTGGACCACCACTATCTCCTGTCCTGGATCAACACTCTCTCGTGTCCTGGACCACCACTCTCTCCTGACCTGGACAACCACTCTCTCCTGACCTGGACCACCACTCTCTCCTGACTTGGACCACCACGCTCTCCTATCCTGGGCCACCACTCTCTCCTGTCCTGGACCACCACTCTCTCCTGTCCTGGACCACCACTCTCTCCCGACCTGGACCACCACTCCATTCTGACCTGGACCACCACTCTCTCCTGACCTGGACCACCACTCTCTCCTGACCTGGACCACCACCCTCTCCTGTCCTGGACCACCCCTCCTGACCTGGGCCACCACTCTCTCCTGACCTGGACCACCACTCTCTCCTATCCTGGGCCACCACTCTCTCCTGTCCTGGACCACCACTCTCTCCTGTCCTGGATCACCACTCTCTCCTGTCCTGGACCACCACTCCTGACCTGGACCACCACTCTCTCCTGTCCTGGACCACCACTCTCTCCTAACCTGGACCACCACTCTCTCCTGTCCTGGACCACCACTCTCTCCTGTCCTGGGCCACCACTCTCTCCTGACCTGGGTCACCACTCTCTCCTATCCTGGACCACCACTCTCTCCTATCCTGGACCACCACTCTCTCCTATCCTGGACCACCACTCTCTCCTATCCTGGACCACCACTCCTGACCTGGGCCACCACTTTCTCCTGACCTGGACCACCACTCCTGACCTGGGCCACCACTCTCTCCGGACCTGGACCACCACTCCTGACCTGGACCACCACTCCTGACCTGTACCACCACTCTTTCCTGACCTGGACCACCACTCTCTCCTGATCTGGGCCACCACTCTCTCCTGTCCTGGGCCATCATCTCCACATCTACCCCACAGTCCTTCACATCCCTTGTCCACCTCTTACAACCACCTTTTCCTCCCAGGCCCACCCCTTGATCTCATCCCCGGTCCCCCTCCACATCACGGCAGTCATATGTATGTGCGTTTGTCTGTATGTTGAACGTCTTTCGCACCGTACATAGCCAACCATGCATATCGGAGGTGCGGGCGAAGGACAGCAAACCAAACAATGTATATTTTTACACATTTACTGGGCATTTTCACGTGTTCGTCACTTACAGGGAAGGGTGCGGCAGGTTTCTGAAATCCCCCCTGCCCCACCACCTCAGTCCACCCAGCAGAACGCATTGGGCACATCCGCCGTAAGTCGATGGTCAGGCGGCGTGCGGCGAAGTATCTGTCGGGTGCTTCCAACACATTCGGAAGAGGTTTGGCTATGTACGGTGCAAAAGAAGTTCCAAATACGTACTTGCCCGCACCTCCGATTAGCACGGTTTGGTTATGTACGGTGCGAAAGCAGTTCAAAAGACATGCACACAAATCCTTTTTACATCATTGATGCCGCGATTCCAATGTTCGGTGCACGAATCTTCCCAGAGGAATGGACGCCCTCGTCCGTATCGGGCAGCGGTGGCGGCGGTGGCGGCGGTGGTGGCCGTGGCATCCGTGGCAGCGGTGGGGTAGACCGGTCAGATGAGACGACGGAGCTTCAGGAATTGACGCCGCTCAAGAAGGATGAGGGGGGGGAGGGGAGCGTCGCCAACGAGTGGGGTTCCGACGATGGCCGCTCTGTGGACGAAGGCGAGAAACCCCCTGCAGAGGAGCGGGCAGGCGAGGAGGAGGCGGAGGAGGAGGATTCCTCGCTCTCCAAGAAGCTTCTCGTCAAGGAGTTTGTTTTGATGAAGAAGGCGCAGATGCTCGCCGACATGGTGCAGGACGACCATAGGAAGAAGCACGTGCGTGCGTGCGTGTGTCTGTGCGTGTGTGCATGCGTGAGTGTGCGCGAGTGTGTGCCTGAGTGCGTGTGTGCGTGTGTGCATGGTGTGTGAGTGTGTGCGTAACAAGTGGGCGTGTGTGGGGAGTGATAGTGTAGCGGTTAGCGCTACGCTGCACTACGAACCCGGCGACCCGAGTTTGATTCCCGCTCACGGCGAACACCACCAGTGACGATTATCTGAACCGGTCCTGGGCCTCCTCTAGGTCGACTCGGCCTCAAACTAGTACCTGGTGCAGTGTGTAAACATCGCCACTGGTGAAACAAAGGCGGTCGGGCGTGTGCCGTTCTGGCCTTCATAGGGGCTATTCGCTAACAGCACTTGCCCCTTGTAGTCTGTTAAGGCTATTCGCGGGACCTTTGAATTTGTGGTGTGTGCGTAACAAGTGAGTGTGTGACGAGAGTGTGAGTGTGTGATGTCGTGCGTGCATGATGCGTGTCTGTTCTTGCGTGATGTGTGTGTGTGTGATATGAGCGTATGTGTGATGTGCGAGTGAGCACGTGCCGTGTGCACGCGTTGGTGTGTGTGCGCTTGCGTGATGACAAAAACGCCGCATGTTCGGTTAAACTCGTTACGCGCCGCTAAACTCACCGTGTTGACCACCGTGTGAACTGCAGCAGATGCAGAGGAGCTTGAAGATCTCCAGGGAGGACTATAAGGATGTGGACCACAGCAAGATGAGCATGAGGCAGCTCCTGTACTGGATTCCTAGCAACAACCCAATGCTGTGAGCACGTGGACAGGAATTTGCTCCTGATGTTGTTTTTGCCAAATTCGAAATCGATCGATTGCCATTGCACATGGCAACTGATGATAACCGTACAATCGTGATGGATATACCGTGTTGATTGTGATGATGGACGTACGATAACGATGATAATGACGATGATGATGGATGTACAATGATGATAGATGCTACGATGGTTGATGGAGTTACTATGATGATGACGATGGTTAATGTACTTACGATGGTGATGGACTTTCGCTGGTAATGGACTTTCGATGGTGATGATGATAATTCTAGAAGTACGATGATGATGATGACGTTGAACGGACGTTACCAGCCTCGTGTCTCCGCTTTGCACCGCAGGTCGACTCTGAAGGAGGAAAAGGAGAAAGTTGTCGCTAAAGAGTTACGTCGCTTCCATTTATTTCGCTTCAACCGCCTTGGCATTTTGGGGGGATTGAGAGGGCCAAGCCTTCCGATACCGGAGGCTCGGCCAACCCTTGGTAAACTCTGAAACATCAGAGGTTTTTTTTGGGTTAGATCGTGTAACTATAAATGTGTCGTTAAACCCGCCACCACCCGACACAGTCAATTAGTGAGGTTTGTCACGTAAACAAAACGTGCCCAATGACGTTACTAGTTCAGCACTAACCGGTTGTGTTGGAGAGTAACCGCCACTGCAACATTTACAATTATAGTGTAGTGTATAGTGTAGTATACTAGTACAGCACACCGGTGTGTTGGAGAGTAAACTCAAAAAAACATTTACAATTATAGTAGTGTGTAGTGTATAGTGTATATTAGGACAGCACTAACCGGTGTGTTGGAGAGTAAACCCACTACTACATTACCAATTATAGTGTAGTGTATACTAGTACAGCACACCGGTGTGTTGGAGAGTAAACCCACTGCAACATTTACAATTATAGGGTAGTGTATAGTAGTGTATAGTGTAGTGTATAGTGTATACTAGTGCAGCACACCGGTGTGTTGGAGAGTAAACCCACTACTGCATTAACAATTATAGTGGAGTGTATAGTGTATACTAGTACAGCACACCGGTGTGTTGGAGAGTAAACCCACCACATTTAAATTCGAGCAGCGTGACGTTTCGCTGGAAATTACAATAACAACCAGCATCATCAGGCGACGGGCAGAATTGTCGGGTGGTGACGGGTTTAACGACACACTGACATTTACGCGATCGAACTCAAAAAAAAAACCTCTCGTGGATAATATCGGTCGCGAAAGCCCCACTATTACTGTGCTACTACTACGCGTGCAACTAAATTCTTATCGCACAATTAAGTTTTGACTTCTAGATTTGAAGCTTTCGTGACTGCAAGGATCCATACTCTTTGGTTCTATTCGGTAAAGTCACGTAAAAGTATAAAACAACTAAAAAAAAAATTCACGACGTTTCAGCCACGACACAAGTGGCCTTCATCAGATGAAGGGACCAGACTGTCTCGAGGATAGCGCTGTTGTTGTTTTATACTTTTACGTGACTTTACCGAACAGAACCAAAGAGTAAGTTATGACTGTTGCGGCCTTTCCTTGTGCACACGTGGAGCAGAATGCATGCATAGACAACATCGGATCGTATTGTTATTATAAGTATGTTTAACATTGACCATATCATGACCCCCCCCTACTCCCACCGTAAACGTGTCATGCTCCTGGGTCGAGAGTAATTGATGTCTCAATGATGCAGCTCGGCTGGACAGATTCTGCGTGTGTGTGTGTACGTGTGCGTGTACCTAACACGGTGCGTAAACATCGTCACTGGGGAGACAAAGGCGGCCGGGCTTGGTGCTGGCCACCCACCCCCTCGTGTGCTGTGCCGGCCTTCATAGGTGCTCACTAACAGCACTTGCCCCATCAGTCTGTTCGGGCTATACGGGAGATCTTTGTCTCGATATCTGGCAGTGGGGAACGGTAGCACCCCGAGTTCGATTCTCGCTCAAGGTCAACACCAGTGACGATTATCTGAATTGGTCCTGGGCGTCCCTTAGGTCGACTCGGCCTCAAATGAGCACCTGGTGCGGTGTGTAAAACATCACCATTGGGGATACAAAGGTGGCCGGGCTTGGTGCTGGCTACCCACCCCCCTCATCGGTGCTCGCTAACAGCACGTCAGCACTTGCTGCAACAGTCAGTTAAGGCTATACAGGGGATCTTTGTCTACATGGCAGTCATCTTAGGCAGTCATCCCATGGCACCTGGGTCTGTCCGGTGACTTTTGACCAGCAGCGAGCCCTTCCACATTTCAAGTGGCCTCAAAAGTGTCGAGCTGATGCCGTGGTGACATCACCACGACTTGGTGGCAAATGGCGGTTGTTGTTGTTGTTGTTGTCTGTCTGTTTGTGTCTCTGTGCCCGTACGGCGCAGGCGGGAAAACCACCTCTCGGACAGAGCGGTGGCGGTGCCGCCGCGGCCGGAATGTCCGGTGACCGAGGCCGACGGCGTTGACGATGATGACGATGATGGTGACGATGGCGACGAGGGTCTGATGGTGCCCAGGGTGCGTGTGGGCGAGGATGGCACGCTCATCCTGGACAATGAGAGGTGCGCGGCTTCTCAATCGCTCCCACCTCCACCACCACCAGTAGCACCACCACCAACATCACCAGTAGCACCACCACCAACACCACCACCAACCACACCACTGCCACCAGTATCACTGCCACCTCCACCACCAACACCACCTCCAGTAGCACCGCTACCACCACCAACACCACCACCACCACGTCTACTATCACCCCCCCACCTCCCCCTGAAACCTGGAAAATAGATTTTTATTTATGTTTATCAGGGATGATCCATAGAATGAGTGTTGTTATTATTATTTGTGTAGCGCTCTATTCGAAAAGCTTAATATTTCTCAACAAACCTTCCCACCCCCCGCCTCCCCCATCCACCTTGAGAAGTCTCTTGATGCGGCTCTGGCCTGGTGCCTCGTGAAGCCATGCCGGGGCCGGCACGGGGCCGGCACGGGGCCGGCACGGGGCCGGCACGGGGCCGGCACGGGGCCGGCACGGGGCCGGCACGGGGCCGGCACGGGGCCGGCACGGGGCCGGCACGGGGCCGGCAGGGGGCCGGCACGGGGCCGGCACGGTTGTGATGCCAGTGGGAAAAATGGCATGAGTGGTGGTTATTGTTTGCCGTCGTTTTTTTTGTTGTCATTGTTATGGTTGTCATCGTTGTCGTTGTCGTCATCGTTGTCATTGTTATGGTCGTCATCGTTGTCATTGTCGTCATTGTTGTCATTGTTATGGTCGTCGTCGTTGTCATTGTTGTCATTGTTGTCATTTTTATGGTCGTCATCGTTGTCATTGTCATTGTTGTCATTGTCGTCATCGTTGTCATTATCATCATTTTCATTGTTGTCATTGTTATGGTCGTCGTCGTTGTCATTGTCGTCATCGTTGTCATTGTTGTCATTGTTATGGTCGTCGTCGTCATTGTTGTCATTTTTATGGTCATCATCGTTGTCATTGTCGTCATCGTTGTCATTGTTGTCGTTGTCATTGTTGTCATTTTTGTCATTGTTATGGTCGTCGTCGTTGTCATTGTCGTCACCGTTGTCATTGTCGTCATTGTCGTCATCGTTGTCATTGTCGTCGTTGTCATTGTCACCATCGTTGTCATTGTTGCCGCCGCTCAGCCTCACGGTGCGTGTGAGGCGTCCCGGCGAGGACGACGCCGGGGTGGCGGCGGCGCTCGCCGTGGAGGCGCTGCGCGAGGACGGCTCCTCCGCCCGCTACAGCAACTTCTCCAAGCACGTCGCCACGCGGAGATGGAGCGACATGGGTACACGGCGTCAACCCCCCCCCCCCCCCACCCCTCTGCAAGCACCGCCGCCGCCACCACCACCGCCGCCGCTACCACAGCGACCACCGGCGCCACCACCACCACCGCTACCACAGCAACCACCGGCACCACCACCAACGCCACCACCACCACCACTACCACAGCGACCACCGGCACCACCACCGCCGCCACCACCACCACCGCCGCCGCTACCACAGCAATCACCGGCACCACCACCAACGCCACCACCACCACCGCTACCACAGCGACCACCGGCACCACCACCACCGGCACCACCACCACCGGCACCACCACCACCGCCGCACCGGCCGTGGTCAGACACGAGCGGTGCCCACGCCGTGATCCGCCGTGTAGCCTGTAACTTTCCACCTGATGACGGACGGCTTGTGTTGCGCCCGAAACGTCGTGATTTACTTTATGTGATACCTACGTGAGTAAAGTCACGTAGCTGAAAATAAAATATTTTCAAAATATTTTCACCTACATGACTTTACCCAATAGAACCGAAGAGTATGGATCCTAGCAGTCACGAAAGCTTTAAATCTAGAATACCTACGTGACTTTACCGAAAGAACCAAAGAGTATGTAACAGACTGTTGGGGCAGGCGCTGTTTGCGAGCACGGCACAGCGACGGGGTGGGTGGCCAGCGCCACGGCCGGCCGCCTCCCCGGCGGCGATGTTTACTGCACCACCGCAAGCGGGTACTGATTTTTGAGGCTGAGCCGACCTAGGGGAGGCCCAGGACCGGTTCAGATAAATCGTCCCCGGTGTTGGCGGCCGTGAGCGGGAATCGAACTCGGCTCGCCGGGTTGGTAGCGCGGTGCGCTGACCCCCCCCCCACCCCCCGTGCTGCCGCTCCCACCACCCCTCCCACGTCGCTGCAGAGACTGAGCTGTATTTCCTGGCCATCAGCATGGTGGGGACCGACATGTCGATGGTGTCGCACCTCTTCCCCACGCGCAGCAGGCACGAGCTGAAGGTAACGGCCGGGATGCCGGGCGTGTGCGCGCGTGTGTGTGTGTGTGTCATTGTGTGTGTGTGTCAGTTTTTGTGTGTGTCAGTATGTGTGGTGTGTGTGTCAGTGTGTGTGTGTACGTATTGGTGTGGGGAGCGGTAGTGTAGCGGTTAGCGCTACGCTGCGCTATGAACCCGGCGACACGGGTTCGATTCCCGCTCACGGCCAACACCGGTGACGATTATCTGAACCGGTCCCGGGCCTCCCCTAGGTCGACTCGGTACCTGGTGCGGTGTGTAAACATCGCCACTAGGGAGACAAAGGCGGTCGGGCGTGGTGCTGGCCACCCACCCCCTCGTGTACCGTTCCGGCCTTCATAGGAGCTCGCTAACAGCACTTGCCCCTACAGTCTGTTAAGGCTATACGGGGGATCTTTGTCTTTTTGTCTTTGTACGTATTGGTGGGGAGCGGCGGTGTAGCGGTTAGCGCGCTGCGCTACGAACCCGGCGACCCGAGTTCGATTCCCGCTCATGGCCAACACCGGCGACGATTATCTGAACCGGTCCTGGGCCTCCCCTAGATCGACTGAGCCTCAAATGAGTACCTGGTGCGGTGCGTAAAAATATCGCCACTGGGGAGACAAAGGCAGTCGGGTGCGGTGTTGGCCACCCACCCCCCTCGTGTGCCGTGCCACACTTCATAGGTGCTCGCCAACAGGGGCTGTCCATAAATGACGTCACGCACCTGGGGGGGGGGGTCAGACATTTGTGACGAGGGGGGGGGGTTTGAGAAATGTGACATCACATCAAAATGCGCAACTTTAAATAAATATAGACAACCACGTTCTAGTTAATTAAATAGACTTTCTAATAAATGTTTTCTCCTACAACATCAGAGTGCAGCGCCACATTAAATACGCACTACAATGACAATAGTTTAAAGCGATTTGAAACATGTTTTAATTTTCTTGGGTGGGGGGGGGGGCAGAGCTTTGTGACGTCATTTGAGGGGGGTCTGACTTTTTGTGACGCCGTGCGACGAGGGGGGGGGGTAAAAAATCGTCCAAATTCGCGTGACGTCATTTATGGACAGCCCCACAACACTTGCCCCAACAGTCGTTTCAGGCTTTTCGGGGGGGGGGGGGATCTTTGCACGTGTGTGCGTTGGTGTCCTTGTGTGTGGGGAGTGGTGGCGTAATGGTTAGCAGCACTGCGCTATGAACTCGGTGAACCGAGTTAGATTCCTTCTCACGGCCACCAACACCGGCGACGCTTATCTGAACCGGTCCTGGGCCTAACCTCGGTCGACTCGGCTTCATTTGAATACCCGCTGCGGTGTCTAAACATTCGCACCGGGGAAACAAAGGCAGCCGGGTGTGGTGCTGCCTTCGAACAGCACTTGCCCCAACAGTCTGCTAAGGCTTATACGGGTGATCGTTGTCTTTGTTTGGGTGTGTGTGAGTGCACCTACACCTACAGCACTCGCTTATCTCCTCCCCTCTCATCTCACTCGACTCCCCTACAGAAACCAAAGCCTTCTCTTGAAACCTCCCCCGGTTGCCTGTGGCCAGCGGGAGGTCGCTGTTCCCTTCCCTGTCCCTGTTTAAGTCCAGACCTTCACATTTGTTTCCCTCTTGCCTCCAACTGAACGGTTCTTTCTTTCTGCACCGCGCCCCACCCTGTAATTGTACCGTACTGCTTTGTGCGCGTGCCATCGTGTACGTGCCATCGTGTACAATGCCATCGTGTACGTGCCATCGTGTACGTGCCATCGTGTACGTGTGTACGTGTGTACGTGTGTGTGTTGTGCGACCGCAGAATAAATTCAAAAGGGAATCGCGTATCCACCCGTGGAGGATAGACAAGGCCTGCAGTAAGTAAGAGCGTAAGTGAGGGGAGGTGGGGGGGGGGGGCGGCCGGGGGGGGGGGGGGGGGGCGGGGGGATGCTGGAGGTTCGTTCACGTCCTTCGAGCGTCGTTGCAAACTGCGAGATTTGGATCCCTCCCGGACTCCGTTGCTTCCGTTTTGCTTGCGGGGTGCTGCGTTGGCTGCCCGCACGGCCTGGCGGTACGTACGCGTCTAAGTGCTGAAACTCTTTCGCACCCCATGCGGCCAACCGTGATGACGGGAGGTGCGCCCGTTGGCAAATCGGTCGGGCAGCATCGCCCAAAGCCATGTCAAATGTTCGCGAGACTCAGCTGCGACACACTCTTGAGGCACGAGCGGCCACGTAATATCACTTACTGCACAGGGCCAAACAAATACATATACTGAATGGTATATATTTACACTTGGCCCCTCAGTACGGGGATTGAGCAGTGACGTTCTGTCAATTAGGCTTAATCGGTGCGCATCTGCTCCTAGTTACAGGTGGGAGAAGTTTATTTTATTATTCGCTGGCTTTCATTTATTTGCCGCTTCTGCTCGCGGCAAACGTTTGCACAAAAATGGCGGAACCCCATCGTCGTCGCTCTTCATTACTTATTATACACTCGTGCATTTCCTCTCTGTAAGTCGATCTGTGTGTGTGTAAATGTGTGTGTGTGTGTAAGTCGATATGTATGTGTGTGAGTCCATCTGTGTGTGTGCGTCCATGTGTGTGTGTGCGTTCATGTGTGTGTGGGGAGCGATAGTGTAGCGGTTAGCGCTACGCTGCGCTATGAACCTGGCGACCCGAGTTCGATTCCCGCTCACGGCCAACACCAGTGACGATTATCTGAACCGGTCCTGGGCCTCCCCTAGGTCGACTCAGCCTCAAAATGAGTACCTGGTGCGGTGTGTAAATATCGCCACTGGGGAGACAAAGGCGGTCGGGCGTGGTGCTGGCCACCCACCCCCTCGTGTACCGTTCCGGCCTTCATAGGTGCTCGCTAACAGCACTTGCCCCTACAGTCTGTTAAGGCTATATGGGGGATCTTTGTCTTTGTGTGTGTATGTTGATGTGTGTGTGTGTGTAGGTCGATGTGTATGTGTAGGTGGCTGTGTGTTTGTGTGAGTCGCTGTGTTTGTGTGTGCAAGTCAATGTGTTTGTGTGGGTCGATCTGTGTGTGTAAGTCGATGTGTGTGTTTCTGAGTCGATATGGGCGTGTATGTGTAAGTCTATTTGTGTGTGTGTGTAAGTCCATGTGTGTGTGAGTCTGTGTGCGTGTGTAAGTCTATGTGTGTGTGTGTGTGAGTCTATGTGTGTGTGTGAGTCGTGTGTGTGTGTGAGTCGATGTGTGTGTGTGTGTAAGTCCATGTATGTGTGAGTCTGTGTGTGTGTGTGTAAGTCCATGTGTGTGTGAGTCTGTGTGTGTGTGTGTAAGTCGATGTGTGTGTGTGTGAGTCGATATATATGTGTGTGTGAGTCGATATATGTGTGTGTGAGTCGATATATGTGTGTGTGAGTCGATATATGTGTGTGTGTGAGTCGATATAAGTGTGTGTTTGAGTCGATATATGTGTGTATGTAAGTCCATGTGTGTGTGAGTCTGTGTGTGTGTGTGTGTAAGTCCATGTGTGTGTGAGTCTATGTGTGTGTGTAAGTCGATTTGTTTGTGTGGGTCGATCTGTGTCTGAGTCGATGTGTGCGTGTATGTGTAAGTCTATTTGTGTGTGAGTCGATATATGTGTGTGTGTGTGTCGATGTGTGTGTGTAAGTCCATGTGTGTGTGAATCTATGTGTGCGTGTGTAAGTCTGTGTGTTTGTGTGAGTCGATGTGTGTGTGTAAGTCCATGTGTGTGTATGAGTCGATGTGTGTGTGTGAGTCTATGTGTGTGTGTGTAAGTCCATGTGTGTGTGAGTCTATGTGTGTGTGTGTAAGTCGATGTGTGTGTGTAAGTCGATGTGTGTGTGTGAGTCTATGTGTGTGTGTGTAAGTCGATGTGTGTGTGTAAGTCGATGTGTGTGTGTGTGAGTCGATATGTGTGTGTGTGTAAGTCCATGTGTGTGTAAGTCCATGTGTGTGGGAGTCTATGTGTGTGTGTGTGAGTCGATGTGTGTGTGTGTAAGTCCATGTGTGTGTAAGTCCATGTGTGTGTGTAAGTCCATGTTTGTGTGAGTCTATGTGTGTGTGTGTAAGTCGATGTGTGTGTGTGAGTCGATATATGTGTGTGTGTAAGTCCATGTGTGTGTAAGTCTATGTGTGTGTGTGAGTCAATGTGTGTGTGTGAGTCGATGTGTTTGTGTAAGTCCATGTGTGTGTGTAAGTCCATGTGTGTGTGTGAGTCTGAGTGTGTGTAAGTCGATATGTCTGTGTAAGTCGATGTGTGTGTGTGGCTCTATGTGCGTGTGTGAGTTGATGTGTGTGTGCGTGAGTCTATGTGTGTCAGTTTATGTGTGTGTGTCTACGTCCATGTGTGTGTAAGTCAATGTTTTTGTGTATGTGGGTCGATGTCTTTGTGTGTGTGGGTCTTTTTCACCCGGGCAACACCGGGTACTTCCCGCTAGTACTTTATAAATGCACATTGATTCTAAATGTGGAGGGGAAAAACTGGAAAACCCGGAGAAAAATCCACGCGGCCACGGGGAGAGAGAGAGAGACGCAAACTCCAAAATATACAGCAGGCGTCAGGGTCGGGATCGAGCCTATGACCTCCTGCATATCAGGCGAGGTAGTTAACATCCCGCCACTGCGGCGTCCCCCCCTGCCGTTTTGTTTCGCCCAGTGGAGAAGAAGCCGATGGACATGGAGGGCTTCGCCAAGCTGCTGGCCGACGAAGAGGAAGAGCGGAAAAAGAAGAAGGCTAAAAAAAAAACTCGCAAGAGGCGTGCAAAACCGTCGGGTAAGTGTGTTTTTTCTTTCTCCTCCGCGATTTTGGTATTCGGCAACAACGTCCGACGTTTTGCTCCCGCGCCCAGCGAGAGCTGCATCACCTCGCATTGCCTCGTCTCGTTCCCCCCGTCTATCTCACTCGAGTTGTCAATCTCATTCCCTCCGTCGGAACTACGTTTCTACGTGACCTTCCGGAAATGCCCACGCATTGGTTCATGAATAATCGACAACAACGACAACATTAACTATACTTGCATTTCATAATAATGTTCATAATGCGTGTTCCGTCCTTGTGTAAAGATTGAAACACAACAAGCGACGTGCCTGGCACAGTGCGTACGCTGTGCGTGCGAACACGGGCAGTCGGGAAGCAAAACAAGGCCTCCGATTGGTGCCCCTGATCTGGGAGAGACCACGTGGGGGTGGATGACGGAGAAAGGGGAGGTACAGGGGGGCGGGGCCTGGAAAAGGATTGGCTGCAGACAGACAATTGAAATCATTGGAGGAAAGATGCAAGCCCAAAGGGCGGGAAAACCAAGGTTGGCTTGACAGGGTAAATGGTTGAAAACCATTGGACGAGGAGGACGCGGGATTGGCTGAGGGGGAGGTAGGTCGAGGAAACCGTCGTGAAAGGGGGGCTCGAGGGGGATTAAAAAAAGGGGAAGCACAGGGAGAGAGGGGGGGGGGGACGCTTGGAGAGAAGTCGAAGTTCGTGGCTGGAGAAGCGAAGCTCGTGCCTGAAGTCGGTGGTCGTGTGCGGCCAAATGAAGGCTGTTAATAACTTGACGAACGTGTGTTGCTCGTCATTCCATCCCAGGATCCCAATGCCCCCAATGCACGGAGATGCCAGGAAATAACAAATACAGAACCAGGGCAACCGACTAAACTAAAGAGGGGCGAGGCCGGTTTGTAGAGATGCGCTTTTAGCTTGCTTGCCGCAGCATCTCCTCTCAAACATTGGACGGGGTGCACCCCGATAACCCCCACCCCCCAAGCGGCAGCTGTCCCTGCGCAGCAGCAGGAAGCCGACTCTCAGCTCCTGGCCTGCATGCGGGGCATCGGTCTCACGACTCTCCCTTTTAGAATGATCCGGAGTAGGTTTTTTTGCAACAGCCGAGGGGGGGGGGGGGGTGGAGTGAGAGGGAGCGATGACCACGATTGTGTTTTCCGTGATCGCAATTTGAGTAATCTGCAGTGTAATCTTTCGAATCCTGAAAAAATGTGGCCGGTCACACCCGCACACACATCGTCGGGCTGCTCTTGTGAATGACGTCGCGGGAATTTTTAATGTCCGCTGTGTGGTTTGTACACACCGCGTTGTTAACCAAGACAGCCTTTATATTGTATTCAACTAAATCGATGCGCGGCGTGGTTCATAAACCATCACGCTAGCTCCGATCATCCTCGCTCCGGTCATCCTCGCAGCAGCAGCAGCGGCTTGTGGCTAAACATGGAATAAAGACGGTGGTCACCGCATCGCTTTTGGACGCGCTTCTGCGGCCGTCTGGAACGCTCTTCCATCCGATATTAGGAAGCCACTGGAGCCGTGCACTTTAAAATCATCATCTAAATCGACAAACTCATTTCTTCAAGAACTGCTTGCTGTGCTTAGTTTGTTGGCCTTGCCCCGCATCCTCCGATTAGCACGGTTGGCGACGCACGATGTGAAGTAAGTTCAACGTACATACAGGTGTAGTGGCATAGCGCTGGCTGCTGGCAAAAAATGGGATCTGCGGCGTATGGCAGTACTGACGTCAGCAGGCCACGATCTACACGAGCGGGGGACATCTAGGGGAAAGGTCACAGATGGGGCCCATCGGGAAGCCCCGGAAACCCGCTGGTAGGTTCCAGAAAGGGGGCGTGGCCGACGCTGGGAGTCTGAGAGGCCCCTGTGAGGAACCTCGCGGCTGTTGTTGGAAGTGGGATACCCGTCGTACTCCTCAAGTCCACCACCGTTGTCACCATCTCCTCGTCATCACCATCTCCTCGTCGTCACTATCTCCTCGTCGTTGTCTCCGTCTTCACCATCCCGGGGCGCCGCTAATCAGACGGCCTACCATCTGTCCTGACTGAGCAGTGCGCCAACAATAGACGGTCTTCATTATAATAGCGTGCACCCACGTAGGGGCTGTGTTATCCCGATGGTGCTTGCGAAATAAAGAAGTCTTATCGTCTCCGAGTTGAATCACTACACATACAACACAGCCCCAGTGACGTAACAGCTCCCTTCTCGCCACCGCCGCTCGCGCCCCAGATGACGACGACGAGGAGGAGGAGGAGGAGGGTGGCTTGAGCGGCGTCGAGCACGACGACGGCGGCGGCGAGGACCCAGCGTGCGACGAGGGCAGCCGGACGAAGACGAAGAGGCAGAGGCGGAGTGGCGCGAGGGAGGAGAGCGACGGAGGCCCACGGGAGGTAACGGCGGAGGAAGTTGGCAGCGCCGCTCCGTCCGGAACGCCGGCGGCGAAGAGGAAGAGGAGGAGGAGGAGGGCGAGGAAGATGAGCAAACGGAAGGATGGCGGCGGAGACGACTCTGGACGGGCGGCGAGCGGCGATGGCGTGGATGGGCCGCTTGCTCCGGAGGGCGGCTCCGTCGGCACGGGGGGCGGTGATGACGATGCCGCCTCCTCGGAAACGGTTCCTGGCAGGTGAGCGGCACGTGACCCCCACCCCCCACCCCGACCACCCCGTATAGCCTTTGACAGACTGTTGGGACAAGTGCTGTTGGCGAGTTGCACCCATGTAGGCCGGCACGGCGCACGGTGGGGTGGGCGGACAACACCACGCCCAGCGGCGATGTATGCGCACACTGCAGCGGGGTACTCATTCGAGGCTGAGTCGACCGAGGGGAGGCCCAGGACCGGTTCAGACGGTCGTCACTGGTTTCGTAACGCGTACACACGCGAGAAGGCCGAGCGTCGTGCGTGCTGCTGGTGCTGCTGGTGCTGCTGCTGCTGGGACAGGGCCCTTGCGCCCTCGCGGCCGTTGCGGCCGGAGGGGGTGAATCGTTTTCACCGTTCCATCGCGCCGGTGAATATTTGCTAGGGGCTGCGAGGTTCGTGCGGGGGTCGCCGAGAAGAAGACGAGGAAGAGGCGGCGGAGACGGAACAACGAGGAGGAGGAGGAGGAGCAGAAGGAGACGGATGGGAAGGCGGCGCAGGGTAAGGAGTCGCGGGACGCCGCGGTGGTGCAGCCTAGGGTTGGCATGGGCCGTGGCGCGAGGCGTGGACTCTAGCCCCCTAGCTGTCCAATTTCCCCACTCCAGTCCTCCTGAAGACGCGCCCAATACACACCGTGCATGGTACGCACCGTGGTGCCGAGATGTTAACCACCTCCCCTGGTGTACGCACGAGGTCGTGGGTTCGATCTCAACCCAGACGCCTGCCGTATGTTTGGAGTTTGCGTGTCTCTCTCCCGCCGGTCGCGTGGATTTTTCTCCGGATGCTCCGTTTTTTATCCCCCACCACATTTAGAACTGACGTCACGCGTTTAGAGTATTTGGCTGGTGCTGTGAATTTCCACGTGATTATGATGAGCCCACTTCGTTGAGCTATCACTTGTGATACCCAGGTCGCTTCTACAAAAGAGCCACATAGCTCAGTGGGACCTTACCACGGGGAAAGAGAGAGAGACACCGCAAACTCGATGGTTGGGATCAAAACCCTTGCTGGTGGAAGCTCCGCGGTCCTATGCATTGGGATGCTTGGCGAACTCCATCAGGTGACAGTTTTGGTCAACTCCATCAGTGACTGTGTTGGTCAACGCCATCAGGTGACTGTGTTGGTCAACTCCATCAGGTGACTGTTTTGGTCAACTCCATCAGGTGACTGTTTTGGTCAACTCCATCAGGTGACTGATTTGGTCAACTCCATCAGGTGACTGATTTGGTCAGCTCCATCAGGTGACTGTTTTGGTCAACTCCATCAGGTGACTGATTTGGTCAACTCCATCAGGTGACTGATTTGGTCAGCTCCATCAGGTGACTGTGTTGGTCAACTCCATCAGGTGACTGATTTGGTCAACTCCATCAGGTGACTGATTTGGTCAACTCCATCAGTGACTGTTTTGGTCAACTCCATCAGGTGACTGATTTGGTCAACTCCATCAGGTGACTGATTTGGTCAACTCCATCAGGTGACTGATTTGGTCCACTCCATCAGTGACTGTTTTGGTCAACTCCATCAGTGACTGATTTGGTCAACTCTATCAGTGACTGTTCTGGTCAACTCCATCAGGTGACTGTTTTGGTCAACTCCATCAGTGACTGATTTGGTCAACTCCATCAGTGACTGTTCTGGTCAACGCCATCAGGTGACTGTGTTGGTCAACTCCATCAGGTGACTGTTTTGGTCAACTCCATCAGGTGACTGATTTGGTCAACTCCATCAGGTGAATAATTTGGTCAACTCCATCAGGTGACTGATTTGGTCAACTCCATCAGGTGACTGTTTTGGTCAACTCCATCAGGTGACTGATTTGGTCAACTCCATCAGGTGACTGATTTGGTCAACTCCATCAGGTGACTGTGTTGGTCAACTCCATCAGGTGACTGATTTGGTCAACTCCATCAGGTGACTGATTTGGTCAACTCCATCAGTGACTGTTTTGGTCAACTCCATCAGGTGACTGATTTGGTCAACTCCATCAGGTGACTGTGTTGGTCAACTCCATCAGGTGACTGATTTGGTCAACTCCATCAGGTGACTGATTTGGTCAACTCCATCAGTGACTGTTTTGGTCAACTCCATCAGTGACTGTTTTGGTCAACTCCATCAGTGACTGATTTGGTCAACTCCATCAGTGACTGATTTGGTCAACTCCATCAGTGACTGTGTTGGTTAACTCCATCGGTGACTATTTTGGTCAACTCCATCAGGTGACTGTTCTGGTCAACTCCATCAGTGACTGATTTGGTCAACTCCATCAGTGACTGATTTGGTCAACTCCATCAGTGACTGTTTCGGTCAACTCCATCAGTGACTGTTTTGATCAACTCCATCAGGTGACTGTTTTGGTCAACTCCATCAGGTGACTGTGGTGGTCAACTCCATCAGTGGCTGTGTTGGTCAACTCCATCAGGTGACTGTTTTGGTCAACTCCATCAGTGACTGTTTTGGTCAACTCCATCAGTGACTGTTTTGGTCAACTCCATCAGTGACTGATTTGGTCAACTCTATCAGTGACTGTTCTGGTCAACTCCATCAGGTGACTGTTTTGGTCAACTCCATCAGTGACTGATTTGGTCAACTCCATCAGTGACTGTTCTGGTCAACGCCATCAGGTGACTGTGTTGGTCAACTCCATCAGGTGACTGTTTTGGTCAACTCCATCAGGTGACTGATTTGGTCAACTCCATCAGGTGACTAATTTGGTCAACTCCATCAGGTGACTGATTTGGTCAACTCCATCAGGTGACTGATTTGGTCAACTCCATCAGGTGACTGTGTTGGTCAACTCCATCAGGTGACTGATTTGGTCAACTCCATCAGGTGACTGATTTGGTCAACTCCATCAGTGACTGTTTTGGTCAACTCCATCAGGTGACTGATTTGGTCAACTCCATCAGGTGACTGTGTTGGTCAACTCCATCAGGTGACTGATTTGGTCAACTCCATCAGGTGACTGATTTGGTCAACTCCATCAGTGACTGTTTTGGTCAACTCCATCAGTGACTGTTTTGGTCAACTCCATCAGTGACTGATTTGGTCAACTCCATCAGTGACTGATTTGGTCAACTCCATCAGTGACTGATTTGGTCAACTCCATCAGTGACTGTGTTGGTCAACTCCATCGGTGACTATTTTGGTCAACTCCATCAGGTGACTGTTCTGGTCAACTCCATCAGTGACTGATTTGGTCAACTCCATCAGTGACTGATTTGGTCAACTTCATCAGTGACTGTTTTGGTCAACTCCATCAGTGACTGTTTTGATCAACTCCATCAGGTGACTGTTCTGGTCAACTCCATCAGTGACTGATTTGGTCAACTCCATCAGTGACTGATTTGGTCAACTTCATCAGTGACTGTTTTGGTCAACTCCATCAGTGACTGTTTTGATCAACTCCATCAGGTGACTGTTTTGGTCAACTCCATCAGGTGACTGTGTTGGTCAACTCCATCAGTGACTGTGTTGGTCAACTCCATCAGGTGACTGTTTTGGTCAACTCCATCTGGTGACTGATTTGGTCAACTCCATCAGTGACTGATTTGGTCAACTCCATCAGTGACTGTGTTGGTCAACTCCAGTGACTGTGTTGGTCAACTCCATCAGGTGACTGTGTTGGTCAACTCCATCAGGTGACTGTTTTGGTCAACTCCATCAGGTGACTGTTTTGGTCAACTCCATCAGGTGACTGATTTGGTCAACTCCATCAGTGACTGATTTGGTCAACTCTATCAGTGACTGTGTTAGTCAACTCCATCAGTGACTGATTTGGTCAACTCCATCAGTGACTGTGTTGGTCAACTCCAGTGACTGTGTTGGCCAACTCCATCAGGTGAATTGGTCAACTCCATCAGGTGACTGATTTGGTCAACTCCATCAGGTGACTGATTTGGTCAACTCCATCAGGTGACTGTTTTGGTCAACTCCATCAGGTGACTGTTTTGGTCAACTCCATCAGTGACTGTTTTGGTCAACTCCATCAGGTGACTGTTTTGGTCAACTCCATCAGGTGACTGATTTGGTCAACTCCATCAGTGGCTGTTTTGGTCAACTCCATCAGTGACTGTTTTGGTCAACTCCATCAGGTGACTGTTTTGGTCAACTCCATCAGGTGACTGTGTTGGTCAACTCTATCAGTGACTGTGTTGGTCAACTCCATCAGTGACTGTTTTGGTCAACTCCATCAGGTGACTGTTTTGGTCAACTCCATCAGGTGACTGTTTTGGTCAACTCCATCAGGTGACTGTTTTGATCAACTCCATCAGGTGACTGATTTGGTCAACTCCATCAGTAACTGATTTGGTCAACTCCATCAGTGACTGTGTTGGCCAACTCCATCAGGTGACTGTTTTGGTCAACTCCATCAGGTGACTGTTTTGGTCAACTCCATCAGGTGACTGATTTGGTCAACTCCATCAGTGACTGATTTGGTCAACTCCATCAGTGGCTGTTTTGGTCAACTCCATCAGTGACTGTTTTGGTCAACTCCATCAGGTGACTGTTTTGGTCAACTCCATCAGGTGACTGTGTTGGTCAACTCCATCAGTGACTGTGTTGGTCAACTCCATCAGTGACTGTTTTGGTCAACTCCATCAGGTGACTGTTTTGGTCAACTCCATCAGGTGACTGTTTTGGTCAACTCCATCAGGTGACTGTTTTGATCAACTCCATCAGGTGACTGATTTGGTCAACTCCATCAGTGACTGATTTGGTCAACTCCATCAGTGACTGATTTGGTCAACTCCATCAGTGACTGTGTTGGTCAACTCCAGTGACTGTATTGGTCAACTCCATCAGGTGACTGTTTTGGTCAACTCCATCAGTTGACTGTTTTGGTCAACTCCATCAGGTGACTGATTTGGTCAACTCCATCAGTGACTGATTTGGTCAACTCCATCAGTGACTGATTTGGTCAAATCCATCAGTGACTGTGTTGGTCAACTCCAGTGACTGTGTTGGTCAACTCCATCAGGTGAATTGGTCAACTCCATCAGGTGACTGATTTGGTCAACTCCATCAGGTGACTGATTTGGTCAACTCCATCAGGTGACTGATTTGGTCAACTCCATCAGTGACTGATTTGGTCAACTCCATCAAGTGACTGTTTTGGTCAACTCCATCAGGTGACTGTTTTGGTCAACTCCATCAGTGACTGTTTTGGTCAACTCCATCAGGTGACTGTTTTGGTCAACTCCATCAGTGACTGATTTGGTCAACTTCATCAGTGACTGTTTTGGTCAACTCCATCAGTGACTGTTTTGATCAACTCCATCAGGTGACTGTTTTGGTCAACTCCATCAGGTGACTGTGTTGGTCAACTCCATCAGTGACTGTGTTGGTCAACTCCATCAGGTGACTGTTTTGGTCAACTCCATCTGGTGACTGATTTGGTCAACTCCATCAGTGACTGATTTGGTCAACTCCATCAGTGACTGTGTTGGTCAACTCCAGTGACTGTGTTGGTCAACTCCATCAGGTGACTGTGTTGGTCAACT